ATATACATATATATATATATATATATATAAACATTTTAAGTTTTTTCTAAGTATTATTTTTTTGCAGACTCTTGTTTTTTCTTCCTGAGATTTTGACGCAATGCGACGCAATGCAACGCAATGCAACGCACGTGTTATACCGCGTACGTCCAAAGCTATCGCGAGATGAGCTCTCAGCATATCCGCATCACGCGCAATTAATTTCACGCGAGGCTCACGAGAGCTCGATTTGCATGTCCCGACGACCGCGGTGCTATTTTAAAGATAGTATCTGCTCGTAACCAGGAACCCACTGCGATATTAAACGCTTCAACAGGTTTCGAGCGTTGACGCGTAAAACTCGAGAGACAAAAAACGCGAAAGTTATTACGTATCGTAAATATAAAACAAGCATATTTTAAAGCGGCTAAAATTAGTGTCTGGATTTAGATAACTTTAAGAGTAACTATTGACAAATCCGATCAAATAATATAATAAAAACAAATGATTTCTCGCTGTCAAACGCGTGAAATTTGTGAGAAACAGTTTTCACACATTTACGACTTTCAACTTGGATTGCGAAAATCTGAGTTCATATTTAAATTTAGCGGCATCAAGGCACTTGAATATCAAATCTCATCAAACCGCGCGAGTAGAGATACTATTTTTGTACAACGCGCATGTGAATCTGTAAGAGTTATATAATGTGTTACGCTTAAATAATCATATCGTTGAATTTACTTCGCCGATCGTTTTTGCCTCCGTGACCGAGAAGTAACATACTTGCTCAGCGAATATTTCGCGACGAAACGCAATGTCATCGCACTTTTGTTTTTGCTTCTGCTTCGCAAAGCTAGGTGTGTTGCATCTGTCGCACTTGCATTTTTTAGAATTTACGCAAACCTACTTTTCGGTGTAGAAAGAAATGGAGCAACACACGAGCCGTGTATAAAATAATAACGCACCGGAACCAAAGAGATAACATCAGCAGCCGCGTGCATCCGGGAAAGTGCAGACAAGGGAGAAGGCTGATCTCGTTTTAACATCTTTTTTTAAAGGCATGGCTTTTACATAAAAAATAGCAAGCAATGTTTTACGCTGAAAACTAAGAAATGGCTTTTAAATTTTCTACGGAGAGAAGATGGAAACGGTATTTTATATAATAAAAATATATGTCCAAAACTATTATTCACGTAATAAATCAACCATTAAGCTTAAAAATTTAATTGTTAATAATATATTTAATAATAATAATAACATTAATATTTTTTAGAGTGTATTATGCTCGCAATAAATTCGCAGTTAGAAAAATCTATCCTTAAATTATTAAGTTTAAATTTTGCAATATCCTGTGAAAAAAGTAGTCTGAATATCTCACGTTTTTCTTTCATTGGAAAATTGATGGGAAAACCGTTTCTAGTAGGCGTATCATTATCGCACTTCGTTGCACGTCACGACGAAATGAATCGAAGTGTACACTGTATATCGGCTGGATCAAGAGTACGCTTGTTGATTTATTTATTAGTGCACCATCTTCGGATGCACACACATAGGAGCGTTACAAGCGGATACGATCGCCGGTTCGTCGATGAACGGGACGATCCATGGTTTACCGTCCCTTATCTCGCTCGAGTCCGAGCATCGCGAAGGCAAGTTAATTTTACTGTGGAGAGAGGATGAAGCCTTCCGGCTCCGGGCACTCGCGAATAATCGCGAATAATCCTCGAGGAGCTCGTGAGTCACGGTCGGAATTAGGAGCACCGGTCCGCTATGCCGTTTTCTCGATCGCGTCAAGGCGTCGTTTCCGGCCGGCTTCGTCGAATCCGCCGCCGATAGTCACCGCCGATAGAGAGAGAGAGAAAGAGAGAAACGGGCAGCCAACCCGCATGCTGATTTATCGTGCTCGTTACAAACGTCTACTACTGAATTCGCATTGATTTATGGGCGTTTGCAAATCAAGCGCGAAATAGAATCCTTCTTTCCGTCCCGTGCGCGTTTCCACCTTCGCATCCGCCGCCGCGAGTTACACGCGATCGTGCGCGCCGATAACGGTATCGATAACTGATGCATTCTTCCTTCGCGGCCCGCAGTTAAGATCGTCGATCTAGCGATTACTAAATGTTGCGTAACACGTTGCGTCCAGTTGATTACATTGGCAAGGTGATTATTTACGAGCGAGGCGGCCCTTTCGCGCTCGAACGATCCGGA